CAACAGATGTAGTAGAAGGGAGGAGAAGAGAAGAGATGAGAAAATGGGAGGAGAAAGGAGAGATGATGAGACAGTTGGAGCGAAGAGAAACAGTACCTCTGAAAGGAGAGGAGATAACAAGAGATGTAGTTAATGGGAGGAGAGGAGAAGGGATGAGAGAAAATGGGAGGAGAAAGGAAAGACGAGATGAGAGGGTTGGAGAGAAGAGAAACAGTACCTATGGTGATCACCATTGAGATGCGACTCGTGTCCTAGTCGCTCCTACATTGCTCCGACGGGATATGGAAGGGAGGAGACAACGACGTTAAAAGGTGGTTCATTTCCTCATGGACTATGGGAGAGATGTTGAGAAGCAGCTCATCTCCTCATCGCTCCAACGGGTTGCAGAAGAGAAGTGACAGTGGTATTGAGAATCATTTGATCTACTTGTCACTCTTGCGGACTGTGAGAGAGAAGCGATGATCAATAACATTGAACAAACGGGTAGCAATGTTCATAGTACTCTCTTGCACTCTTCTGATCATCAATTCTTTATTAAAATACGTGTCAATTTATATTTGAGGCGAGTTCTATCCTTTTCTACCTTTTATATAAAGCTAGCTAAGTTAGACTTAGCACACGAGTCAACTCGTCGGAATCGCCCAATCTTATTGAGTTGATTTATGAGTCAGGCCGATTCCACCCTTTTTACGTTATTGAATCAGACCCGACTCGTCAGTTTAACATTCTTGGATAAATAGAGTTATCTCAGGTAAAATGCTACATAAGGTAATGAAGGTTGATCGTGCTACGATTTCTTATTTCTATATCAAGTGAAAATAACATTTTCATGCTGATTAACTACTATTGAAACAAATATTAATATAACAGCCTTGAGGTTGACTGTATCAGGCTAGCTTTCGTACGTGCTGTCGATGTTGCTCTGCATGATAAATTTCCAGAAGTTTTCTAGAAGTCGGATAAATTCCTCAGATACTTTGCACATCCATCCTTGAACACCCTTCAAACAATTTGGCTAAGAGCAAATAGGCCTTCCATGTGTTTTAGTCTAATCCTTCTCCCTCTTTAAGCTAATATCCCATCTGAATAGCGTCAAAAATTGATCGCCTGTTCCATCATATACGACACACCAATATGGAAGAGAGCTGGTGATCAGCGGCTCCCCTAATTGCAGCCCCCATTCTCAAAACACGTAACAGATAGGATAGAGCTTCCTCAGTAATGACCTCACCAGGAATCAGGACTGGAATACCAGGTGGGTATGGACAGATTAACTCCCCGCAGATCTCCCCAACACTTTCTCTAATATTTACCCTTCTTTTCTTCGCAAAAAAGGCATCCCTAGGGCTAAGTTGCATAGAAGAGTATGTAGCTGGAGCACGTACGCCATTCCATACATCAGACTTTATTTTGTTTCCATTAAAGAAATTCCTGGACAGATTCTTTACCCCTAAAATAAGTCTTTGAATATCTTTCCTGCTAGTCCCCAGGTTGATTACAAATGTTAGTGAGCTGCTTCCTACAAGCTCAGGTATTATGCGATGTCCTTCCCACAATACCTCATCTGCTATGTAGCCTGATATATGGAGCTGTGAGACACCAAGAGTGATACGCAAAGGATCAATAGCAGTAAAACCAGAAAGAAAGCTAGACAAATCCAGTAATGAGACACCTGCAGTTGTTCCAATTTCTTTCCTGGTTTCCAGGGACAAATTCACGGCATCACAAAAAATAGCATCTGGATTTTTCCCTAGCTGAGCTCTTGCAGAATCTAATGATGCAAGTAATAGGTAGCTTGGGCTGGAGCTCTGCAGCATTTGAAGACATTTGCTTATTCTCTCCGTATCTATAAGGTTCCCAGACATATGTAACATTGATGACTGTGTCAGAGAAGATAGAACCTTGTGGGTAGACTGGACAGCTAAGTCTGCACCTTGTTCAAGAGCAGTGCTTGGAAAGTTAGGATGAAACCCGAAATGAGCACCATGTGCTTCATCCACTATTACAGGAATACATCGGGAGTGACAAACTTTAGTAATCTCATTCAGATTACTGCATATGCCATGATATGTTGGAGAAGTGATGAGAACTGCAGCTGCTGTTTTTCCGACGTCCTCCAACTCTTTTATTGCGGCTTCAACTTGCGATGGCCTTATTCCGGCAGCAATATCCCAACAAGAATTATACTCAGGTAGAATGTATTTTGGCACTGCACCAGACAGAACGAGACCCGAGGTTGCAGAAATGTGAGCATTCCTTGGGAGAATGAGTACATCACCTGGGCAACATGTAGCCATTATGGACGCTTGTATGCCACAAGTGGTGCCTCCAACAAGAAACCATGTCTCAGACGCCCCAAACAATTTTGCAGCTTCTGCCTGAGCATCTAAAATTGCACCTTTTGGAGAGAACAAATCATCCAACTCTGGGAGTTCAGGTAGGTCATGTAGAAAAGCTCCTGGACCAGTAAGATTGGACAAATTAGGAGCTGCTTTCCCTCTGTTATGTCCTGGGAAGTGAAAACAAGCAACATCTTGTTCTGCAGTAGACTTTAAGGCCTGAACTAAAGGAGCAGAACTTGCCTCGAGCACTACTGGTAAATCAGCTAAAACATTATTAGGTTCTGATGTTCCTTGCATGCTCACTAATCTCATGCATTTCTTTCTTTTATACCTTGAGATCCTTTCCTGTCAGAAACTTAAAAGAATGTAGAGGAAAACGAAAACCTTTGAGAAAGCAAATATTAGTATTATGGACAAACCCACAAACGGTTGTATCAGCTGAACAGATCACATAATCAAATAAACATTTGTAGTTCAACAACATATCAAAAGCAAAATGTTTTGGGTGATCATCGCAAAAGAAATAAAGGCTTTAACTGCAGTTTTATAATGTAGAGCATGGGAGGAGATCCAGATTCCCAAGAATATTTCATTGTCATCCACTAGAGATAATCACCTCCAGGACAACTTTACAAAAGATTCCAATAAGAAAGAGACCTGTAACACATTGATCCACCTATACCTGTGTTCTGTAAGTTACTCAGCAGTATAATTCTCAGATTAGAAAATACACGAAAAATAATGATAGTGCTCAAGTTTTTCTAGGACACAATCCAGAACGCCTCACTAATTCTAAGACAATCACCCATACTTATTCATAGTCTAACTCAACCCCTTAATCATCCTTTAGCATGAGGTATGGCACATAAATACAATTATTCAACCTACCAAGTAGCAAAAGCAGCAGTATTTGAGCTTAAAGAGCTCAGAGTTCCCTTGCGAGAAAAGGTTGATATGGTTCAAGTAAACTGTCTAAAATTCTAAGAAGGCCTATTTCAACCAACATCTCCTTATTGCTAAACAGGGCTTCTAACCACTTCAGTTATAAGCAAACTTCATCTGAGCTTGATCACATGAGGCTCTGTTAGTTGCAGAATCACTGAATTAGTGACAGAATGTTTTCCTGACCATATTGCCTTGTTGAATGGTGTGCACATGCAAACAACAACTTAAATAAAATAATGATGACTGGGGTTGCCCTTTCTTTCCAAAAGCATCTCCCACTTTGAAATCCTACCATGATTGGAAAGGAAAAATTTTGTACATAGAGACTAACACTGAAAAAACCCACTAAGATACCAATTTCATGATTATAATAATGTCGGATCACCACTTTCCCTAAAAACTTAAGCTACAAGGAAAGGACCTAAGTTACATGTAAATTATAAGGAATTTTATTACTGTTACAATTCATTACATGTCATTCCCCACTTCTCATGCTCACCTGCCAATTCGAATTGGAAATATAGCATAATTCTCAATCTTTTATCCCAGCAAATACTATGACTCATTAGATGTTTTCTTTATGGATGGAAGTTCATAGAACAATCAAGTGCTTTAAAATAGTTTCAGCATGGATGACACTTCACTGTTTGATTCAAGCACTTGTTTCTGGCATAAGGTATCAGCTAACTACTTCCCAAATATTGTTGCATTATCATATGTGTACTTGGTAGAAGCATAGTCCTTCATGCCAACTCAATCCCTCATGTGATCCATATTGGTAAATCAAATGTTCCTTTGACTTAGTATTACTGCTTGCAGCCAGTGGAAACTATAACACATCTTGAAAGTGATGTTAGTTCATGGTGCCCATGCCAATTTAGAAAAAAAAAAATGGAGAACAATTTCTATCAAATCTCAATTGCAATCAGGACACCATGTACGAGTAAGTCTTGGCCACCTTATAATACCAAGTTGTATGTATCTATAACTTTCACGTCCGTTTTAGTACTGATTGCTACATCTATCCATCTTGTAGCAGTTTGGACTTGATGGTACTTCACAAATATCTTTGGTCTCCAACTTCATGGTTTGCAGCTTCTAAGTATAAAATTACAAAGGTTAAGATCAGTGAACAAGATGATACTAGATAAGCAAATACTTCTTAGTAAAACAGAATGAGGTGCTACCTTCTTCCTCGTTGTATTCACAACAAAGTGACTTATCTTTCCACAATAATAACTCATGCAAATAGTACTATGAAAATCGAATGAGATGCCACCTTCTTCTGCTTGGTATATTCATAAGCAAAGTGACACATTTTTCCACAGTTATAACAACTCACCGTACTCCTAGTCTTTCCAAAGTTCTTTTCTATGTTCTTAACCAGTTTCTTTCCCTTCTTATTCCTAAACTTCTTTTCAAGTCCCAAAGCCCTCTGTCACCACATAAGCATGTTCAGAGACCTTTGTAGCTCCAAGAGGCTTGTAAATTAGTACCATATGGTGAGCCACATCAGCGAAGGTCTTAGTGTTGCAAATGTGAACCTTAATGTGCTCCCAAATACTGAGAAGAGATTAGATAACTTTTTGGACTTGCTGCTAATAAATGAGGGTATGACCAGCTGAGATATTGGAAATTTCTCTCATATGATAATTAAGAATGTGGATAGAGACTTTGTTGTAAGAATCAACCTTTTTAGCTGGTTCCTTTGATCACAATGGTAACCCAAGCTTCTCTTTCAGAATGCCCAAATGGCATAAGTAGTATGAAGTTGTTCAAGTTTACCTATAAGGCCATCAACCACAGAGCTTATTAAAATTCCATGTACAATGGAACCCTTTGCTTTCCAAAAATGATATTTTTTTTTATCACCCATTTATCTATTCAAGTCATTCATGTGTTCAATGCAATGCTTCTTGTTCTTCAAGCACTTTAGGCATATACTAGATCTTTGAAGGTTAAATGTGTAGTTATCCCTATCCAACTGTAACACCCCGGTGTAGTCCTACAATGCTAGTAGGCAAAGACATTGACTTATAAGGGTTTGTTAAGTGTACTATTAAAACTTTGGCCTAAGCATCTTACGCTAGTGGTTTAGACTCAACGAAGTTAATGGATCAAATATCTCATTGAATCGAGTAACTAGTATCAGACCCGACCTAACGGTCTTGGACATGATGAGGGAGTCAAGTAAAAAAGGATTGTTTGTGGATGGGGCAGAGGGCATGTCATAGCATAGATCCACCATTGGGTCCGGTCTCACATACACCTTGCTAACAGGTCAATTATCGTTAACTTAAGTCTAAGAATTTTATATTAGTGGTTTTCGCTTAACAAAGTTAACAGGTCAATTATCTCATCAAGTCAAGTTATAACAAATGATATAAGAGTCTAGTATTTAATATGGTGAGGGTGCTTATCAAGAAAGGGCTCTCGATGGATTGGGCTAAAGGGCACACATAGCATTAGTATGGAGCCACCATTGGGCTAGGCCTTATATGCATCATGCAAGAAGTTGTTCTAGGTTATGTTGAGCTCTAATAAGAGTGTCAAACCTTCAAAATGGGGTAGAACACCATTTTAGTCCCATGTTAAGAGTGAAAAGACTTAAATTAACTTATAAGGGGTGTATACTATTAATCTAGGCTTAAGCATTTAGGACTACTAATTTAGGGTTAACAAAGTTAATGGGTTAGTTATCTCATCAGGTCCGATCGTAACAAATGACATTAAAGCCTAATATTAGTTATGTTGAGAGGCTCAAATAAAGTACTGATGGAAATCATCAACTTAGCAACCATATACCCTGATAGCTAAAGAGCTATGATACATATGAAATGCAAATTGACACCCTCCAACGAATTGAAATAAGATGGATCGTTTATAATTGAAATAAGGGAAACTATTCTAATCACTTTATCAATGAAAATTTGATGAAATAATTAAAACAATATTTTGATACCCTTAAAACGCCACAAACTAAGAAGTTTGATAAGTTGAAAGGAAAAGCAAGGATTTTTGGGTTTTGAATGCCACAAGCAGAAAAGCTTGATAAGTTTTAAAGTTCATGCAAGAACTTAAAAACAAAAAACTCACCAGTGTTGAAAGATGATTATACTTCTCAATTGGCTCCTTACAAAGGGAGTCAGCTTTGTTTATACAGTACAAAGGCCAAGTACAAAGTGAATGAATCCATTAAATGACATTCATATTCCTAATTCATGAATGTAGATCACTCATGAATCTGCTTTGAATTGATTTGAATAATTATTCATGAATAAACCCACAATTCTTAATATGGTCCAATATGACTGAATGGCCTTTATTCTTCAAAATGGGCTAAAATTTCGTCCTTCTCTCAAAGCTGGACTTTCTCTTCATGATTTGGACTTACGTGAATCATGTTGACCATTTTAGTCTCTTCTTGTATCTATAGAACTTTAACCGAGTCTTGACCAGCTTGCTCCTTCCAAATGTCTTACAATAAACAAGTTAAGGCTTCTTTCATCCTTTTAGCTTTTAGCTCTTGTCATTGGTCCTCCATTAATAGTTAACGGGTCTTTGGTAGAATTATGATCAACTTGATAGTTCATATCATTCCCCCTTTCCTCGAAAGGATTCATCCTCGAATCACCGCCTTCATCACCTGCATCAAACAAAGATAAATAAGAAACATTAAAGGTTTTACTAACATTATCATACTCACCTGGTAGTTCCAACTTGTATGCATTGTCATTGATTTTTTGAAGAACTCGAAATGGACCATCTCCTATTGGCATTAGTTTAGACTTCCTTTGGCTAGGAAATCTTTCCTTCCTAAAGCATACCCAAACCTAATCACCAAGTTCAAATACTACTTGCTTTCGGCCTTTATTGTATTGTTTCTTATATTGTAGAGTTTTCTTTTCAATTTGTGTCCGGACTCTTTCATGCAATGCTTTGATAAAATAAGTTTTTTGCTTACCATCCAAATTGGCCTTTTCCAAAGGTAAAGGTAGCAAATCCATAGGAGTTAATGGGATTGAACCCATACACAACTTCAAATGGGGAATGATTTGTTGTAGCATGCACACTTCTATTATAAGCAAACTTCACATGTGGCAAACATTCCTCTTAATTTTTTAAATTATTTTGAATTATGGCCCTCAAAAGTGTCGATAAAGTTTGATTTACCACCTCTGTTTGTCCATCTATTTGCGGAAGACAAGTGGTTGAATACAACAGCCTTGTACCCAACTTGCTCTAAATTATTTTTCAAAAGTGGCTAAGGAACTTCACATCTCTTTCACTCATAATTGTCTTTGGAATACCATGTAATCTTATAATTTCTTTGAAGAACAGCCCCATAACATATGTTGCATCATCTGTTTTGTGGCAAGGAATAAAATGTGTCATCTTGC